CTGCTTAAATATTTACTGCCCAGCATCATCGCATTGCGGCTTTATCAACCTGGCATTCGGGAGATATCACCTGTGACGTCACCGACATTGCCGAGGCAGACTGAGGCAGACTCCGTGAGATTCTTGATACATCAAATAACTTCAGGAGTTTCGAACCGAGCGCCAAGTGCTAGTTATTGGGTTTGGTTGGTTATACGAAGACGCGAGGAGCACGATATATATATATCACTCCTTTATTTACGGGACTTGAATGCTCTCTCTTGCATCCAACATCCTTCTTCTCAGCTGCAGCGATATAAAACCCCAGCGGAGCCTATATGGGCAGTTTTAGTTATTGTCAGGCTGTCTTGATATACCTCTCAAACCGTCCTCGATAGATACGGCCAGCTCCACGATTGGAACTTGGGGATACTCGCAAAGCCTTGTCATTCGAGGCTTCTTAAACTACTAATTAATAAAGCTCCTCTGGAAATCATTATAAACATACATTGGGGAAACCGCAAGTTGAACACCCAGGCTTGCTCATTTCCTTGGTCGAGCGTGATTAACAAAATATATTAGCTCCCGCGGGAATTTCGACTTAAATATCGAACAATTCTCACCAAGGAACGCTGCCAAAGTCAGTCAAAAACTATGCCCGCACTCCGTATTGTGCTTGACAGCGCCCCAGCTGTGTGGTCCCCCGGCTGCATTATTCAGGGCAAAGTCGTTCTAGATTCGTCGGAGGATGAAGCGGTATCAAAAATCACCATTCGGTTCTCTGGAAAGGAAAAGACCCTGAAGAAATCAGGGCAGAATTCCCAATACTTTGGCCAGGTCCGGTTCTTTTCCTACGCTCAGCAATTGTTCCGTGGCAATTACACCCTTTCCGCCTCCAAAAAGTTTGAATGGCCGTTCCAGTTTGTCTTCCCACACAAGATGGAAATGACGAAGGATAATTTCTTCCGGGGTCCCAATGATCACTCTCTTCCTCCAACGTTTTACTACGAAACCCCGTTTTTCGCCTCATACACAGTAGATTGCCGAATACAATACAAGCTGTCTGCAGAGCTCGAGCGCCCTTCGTCATTCAGTTTGGTATCGGGATACCTTTCCGCAGAAAGGCGGTTACCCTTCATACCCCATCGATCAGAACAGTCACCAGCGGTAACGGTCCTATCCATCCCATTTCCCTGGAAAGTCTACAGCAAAAAGATCCTCCCAGAATTCGAAAACTACGAACCAACCATGAAAGAAAAAGTAGCCACCGCCTTCACCTCTCGAACCAAACTCCCCAGCTCAGCCTTCAAAATCTACACCCGCTTACCCAGCAAGGCAATCCTGGGCCAAACAATCCCCATCCTGCTCAGCGCAACCCACCTCCCAGACGAATCCACCACCAAAATCGTCCCCATCATCCGCCTCCGCAGTCTCAGACTAACCATCGAAATCCGCACAGCAATCTGTGCCTACTCGACCTTCAGCCGAACCGACGACGAGAGAGTGGACCAGACAACCGTCGTCGACCGCTCGAATCTTGACATCCCCCTGGAACCCCAGCCGTGCAACGTGTCCCAGCTTCTAAACATCATCTGCACACCGTCACTCCCGCCCAGCTTTGTGAGCAATATCGTTAGGCGTAGGTATGGTTTGGATTTGAAGATCATAGTGGAATGCGCTGGTTGCACGAAGACGATCCGGGCAAGCAGGCCGTCGTTTGAGGTTTTGTCATCGTCCTATTTGCAGTTACCCCTTGGCCCACCACCGTCGCTACCGTTGTTGTTTTCAGAGGTGGAGGCGGCAGCGGAGAGGGATGGGGTGGAGTTGCCGGCTTATAGACCTTGAGATCATTGAGTGAACATTGAGGGTTTTGCTTACTTTGCCATTTTACTTTATTTTATATATACTTTTTTTTTTTTTTTTTTTTTTTTTTTGAAGTCGACATTTTTGCTTTTGGTTTATTTTCTTGCACATATTCCAATTCCAACTAACGATGACGAACGATGTTAAGCTTAATGATTGCATTTGGCTAGGCGTATGGTTTGACTGCTATTGTTTGATTTTACATGTTATGATCTTTTTTTTATCTGGATACCCTCACTACGCTGTATACTCCGTATCGCGTTGCCTTTGTGGACACGAGTTACTCAACCCAAAAATTGCACTAAATGGCTTTGTTTCAAGGCCAATTTTTGTACATATGCTGTACATACGAACGCAAGAAACCAGGGTACTTTCCAAATAATTTCATATTGTCATGAACTAGCTAGCTCATTATGTGCAGTTTCTACGCAATCATAAACTATAACTATAGGGGGCTCGTTTTTCCTCGTTTGTTTCAGCACTCATCGATTTCGACCGTAGTATATCCCAGGTGATGTTTTCCTAGCCTAGAAATCTCAAGTATACAGAGCTATGGACTGTGTAATTGTTGAGATGGGTCAAAGGGTTCAGAGTCGCCGCCTATCGTCTTCGCTTTGCTTTTCCCGTGCGCAACCACCCCGTCCGTGACCTTTGATACCTCTCTGGTAGGTACGCGTGACGGTCACATGTGTCGACGAACCGCCTGCATTATGCGTCCAATAATAGTAAACAATGACCAAACATTGAACAGATCCATCGACGATTAAGGACCGGATGACTGGGTCCCTTGTAGTTGCGCGGGTTGAAATGGCTGTCGTGCAGGATGCGGAGTATTATCCCCCCCAACTCACTGGTACGGGATTGTATGAGTAGGATTCAAGGATGACTTGACTTAAGGTCAGTTCATTTCTGAGATCATCGTAAACTGGTAATCATCCATCAATGCCCCAGAGTTTCACCGTGCGATCGTGGCCGCAGCTTGCAATCCATTTCACATCATCGCTGATATCGACGCTAAGAACATTTCCAGAATGCCCGCTCAGGGACTTGACGAGTGACCAGTCATCCGCGCTGAACACGTTGACGTTCTTATCAAAGCCACTGGATACGAAGAACGTGCCAGATTTCTTTGGCTGTACTGGCTGCGAGGGTGGCGGCGGTGGTGATTGGCCATCTACTGGCGTGGAAGGGGTAGCCGGACTGTCGATTGCAACGGCATTCTTGTCTTGTAGTGGAACGGATGGGAGATGTGAAGCTGCTGATTCAGTTCCTTTATACCACCTGAGGTCCGAGACGACGCCGCGATGGGCCCCTACCCCGCCCGTGCAACGCACCTGTCTGATGTCCCAGCATTTGACCCAACCGTCACCTGAGCCAGAGAGCATACGATATCCGTCCGCACCCCAATCTAGACCGAATATTTCTCGGATATGCCCTTCCAGAATCATCACTGTTCGACCGGTACGTAAGTCCCAGATACGTCCATAACTATCCAGACCACCGCTGGCAAGCAGGGAGCCATCGGGATTAAATGCTAACGAGTAAACTTCTCGAGAGTGCCCTTCTTGCAGGAGAAGTTCTGTACTGGTTGCAACGTCCCAAAGTCGCCAAGTTGTATCGTAGGAAGCAGACGCAAGGTAGTCTCCCGAAGGATGAAATTCTACACGACAGACGCGTCCTGAGTGACCTGATAATGTCGTTAATGGGGTATCTTGAGTGAGAGACCAAAGATTGACGTTCCCTTCGCCTCCTCCAGATGCCATGTTAACAGAGGACTCCGATACATTAGATTCTGCTCTCGTGGCGCCTGGAAACCATGAAATTCCTCCAACTCGATCTGTATGGCCCCGCAATGTGGTCCTTTCTTCCAAATTTGGCACATTGAGAAGTTTGATTCCTCCTCCCCAGTTTCCTGCAGCTAGGATTTGGCCGTTTGGCGCAAAACGAGTAATGCTGACTGGACGCTCGCCCGCGATTTGAGACCCGTAAAGATCGAAGCTCTGTAACTTCTCTTTAATCGCTTTGCGATGCTTGATATGTGTCCGTAGTGGGATAGTGGATTCTTCCTTTTGCCGCTCAACTCTAGCTTTTGCCCGTGGTAGCGAATATCTAGCAATGTTCTGCCGCGCCTGGAGTAATTCTGGCACGCCCTCAGTATAAAATTCCTCCTCGCCTTCCTCCTCTTCCTCTTCGTCCTCCCCTCCCTCTTTCATAGATACATCCTCCCCTTCTTCGCCAGCAGTAGCTCCGGCAGCCTCCTTCTGCTCCTCAAGATCCGTTAATAGCTCACGTAAGCGGTCTCGTCTATCTGCTGCATCTTCGCCGAAGAGGGTGATGGGATGTCCAAGTTCGCGTAATCTGGCACGAACTCGGCTATCTTCGGTGGGAACTGCAATTGCAGCAGCTCTCCTGCGGCGGGAAAATTGCGAAAGGATAGCAGACGCTCTCTCGGGGGGAATGCCCGCAGCGGTAGCGGGCATATCATAGTCTCGATCCACAGCTAAGTTTCCGGAAAACAGTATATTAGTTCAATGTTGGTCACGAATCGGGAAGATAAAAGGAGGTACGGTATAATTGCTTTTCATTACTTACGGATATTATTTAGGTCAATCCCCATCTTCGTATCCTATGATTCAACAGACATGGCGCTGATAAGCTAGGGTAAGGAATGGGAAGAGCTGGACGGGCAGATCTTTTGTTCACAGGAATTCTTCTGGGAATATTTCCCTGCAGAATAGGAGGGGATATAAAAATAACAAAGTGTGGAACAATGGACCGGGTTCAGTATACCTCTGGGGCATCCTCGACGTATGCTCGCCGAGCGGGATGCATCTTGGAGTAACGGTTCCCGCAGAGGGGAGGGGTTAAAATTAAGGCTAGCTGGATTAAAAGCGTAGGTCGAAGGTGTGAGGCCGTCAGTATACGTAGCGAGTGTGTCTTCCCTACAAGAATGCTATCATGGCGGGATGGAGTTGGACGTTGAGCAGTTGCATGTCAGTAGGCACATATTCTTAAGAGGGAAGCTTCAACGGAGCCGCAAGCACGTGACATCACCGCCAACTACCTAGATTTCAAGATGTAACTACTCCGTACATAATACAATAATATAGAGGGAACCTTGAGTTCTTACTAAATCACGTCACATTATTATACTTGCTGGAGCTTGTGGCCTGAAGTTAAAAGGACTGGCATGGATTTATGCTGTATGATCCGATTCGTTATAGGCGTAACTAAACATATACAAAATATCCAACACCTCTGTACGCTTTTGAGCGAATATTGATTTGTTTACACAACAATATCACTTCTGAATACTAAAGGACCTAAATTCGAATAAAATGGGCAGATAATTACAATGCGATGATTCTAGAAAAATCGCGGGCTTAGCGCGCGAATTCGATTTTCCTTACACAAGATCGATGGCTAGAATGAAATAGCATATGGAGTTGATTATCGGTGTGATCCTCTTCTATGCCAACTCATCTGTGGGAGAGATTCTTTATTGCAAATACGACAACGGCTAGGATGACGTGGATATTGATCCCGCCAGAGACAGTTAAGAAACACTTCGAACGACTGAAGGCTTGGACCATTTACTTTATCCAATATCGTAACGCTGCGGAGGAGGCAAGTATGGATGGCTCATCCGTCAAGGATGCCCCAAAAATCCATCGGCCACCTGTCGTCAAACACTTCACCTTTCTATCCATTCCCAGCAGGAGTCATTGTACCGCATTTAAAGTATACTCCATCAAAATTTCGCTTGCCTTCGAGGGATGCCCATGCATGGGTGCCTTACTTTTGACGGTGGTGGTGCGGGCCTGTTCCGCTCACCACAATACCTACCATAACTCATTTATTGCTTGTCAAGAGCCTTACACCTTCGTAGAAAAGGGAAGCAATGACCTCGAAATAATAGGTAGTTATTAGATAGTATTTGTCAGGCCACATTTCTTGAATTTCAAAAACTTGCGAGTCCTTTAGCTTTAAATCACCACAGTAAGTGAGAATCCTCTGTTTCTCAGTGGAATCCCCATACTAACAATTCATAAGCAGTGGAGATTCGGTCATGAGTACTACCTCAGGTCTATCAGGTTTCTGCAAGAATCCACCCTGCCGACACGCAAATAATGAGCACGCTCAAAGGACTTGTTTAGCACAGGGATGTCGAAAAAAATGGAAACGTTGTCAGATCGAAAATCCGTATAGAATATGCAAGAAGTGCCCTGATCATCCCGCGGTTAAGGAAATGTTGGGCTGGAGTGAAGATTTAGATGAGTTGGGATGAAGGTGTGGTCTAATTAGCAGAAGGTATTGAATTATCTGTTTCCTCTACACTCATATCCTCCGTTTTATACCCCGAGGAGCCAGCTACATCAGAGTCTTCTTCGAACACCTGGAGTAATTCGTCGGTATTAACGTCACACTGATCAGCTTCTGGGCCTCGCATCTCTTTTAGCCACTGAAATATCGCTCGGGTTGGATGGATCCAGGAGTGGAGGTCATTGTTAGCGTTGTTTGATCGTGATTCTGAACGGGAAATCGGTATGTGAATAGAGGAATCAGGATATAGTCCATATGATATCGTATTTTCAGATAAATCCATATCCGTAAATCCTCTATCCTCTATCATCTCTTGAAGCCCTTCCCAAAACCAACTTTTATAGCGAAGATGATGTCCACAGGTTGCGTGACGCTGGACCGCAAAAGTACTTAGATCTAGTTTAGACTCACCCGGTGGCCTCCATGGTGACATTGGGGTTGGTATAAGATGACGTTCTGGTCCTCGTGCTGAAGTGATGAAAAGCAAAAACGCTTCTTCCGCCCGGGGAATCAGTGGTACTACTGATGCCACTTGAGCATTGGGTTCCTCTGAAAATCGGCAAAAGAATGATTGCGCTGTCTGAGTCCACCAGGATAATGATAGATTGGCCCTCCACATTCCAGAACCAGCCAGAATATGAATGAACTTTCTCGACAGAAGGGATGATATTGAAGCCCCCATCCATATGCCTCCAACCGTAGGCGAGCGAGTATACCCAGAAATTGCGGCTCTTTCATTCTCCGCGGGCCACTCGGCTAGGAGTTGGCTCAACCAAGCTCCGGACACATGGCAGTACGTTCCTGGATCATATAAGGCACTCCGTAGAATTGGAGCGATGCCAATGGCGCTGATGGTCATGAAGGAGGGGATATGAGGAAGGAAGCCGGCAAAAAGGGTATCGCCCGATATTCCGTGTCTCTGTTGTGCGATGTGGCGGGGCCTAGGAAGGGCTGCAGGTCTGGCGAATAGGCTGTGCGTCGGCAAGGCTAATGCCGCAAATAATGCCGCGATGCCCTGCAGGCGAAGGCCATAGGCTGCACAATAACGGGAGAGGAAGTTCAGCGCTTCGGCCGCGCTAGGAGGTGATTTGGTTTTCCTTGTTGTAACATACGGTGTCAGAATCGTAAACAGATCTTCGCTGCAAAGCTGGACATTCCATGGCGACAAGTACTCTTTGTCGTCATGTTGGACCGTGGCTCTCCAACCGTTACCATTTGCTAAAACAGCGGCCCACCATTCGGCTTCGATGGCACTACTCTGCATATCCATGAGGCCAGATTCCCTAGGATTCTCGTGGCGATTGATAATGCGAGCTGTGACACCGGTATATGTGAGGCTTCCGTATTGTGATTCTGCCCAAAATGCGGATAATATGAAAGCCCATGCGCATGTGAATGCGGCCAAATGGTTGTCACAAGATTGACAAGTTTGTACTATGTCAGAACTAGAAGAGCTCTGCAACCAAGAAAAACATCCATCCACTGTACATCTTGTTGGAGTTGAAACGCCAAGAAGAAGTTGTTCGGTCGACGTTGCGTCGCCCAAATCACAAGTATTTGATGCAGACTCAATATGCCATATCGCTCTGCCCTTGGCGTACAAGCGATTATGCTCTCCTTTGAATCCTTTTAATGCGGTCTTTGTATAACTTGGAACCTCGCGAAGAAATAGTTGGAATGCTGCTGGGTCAAAACCGCTCCGAGAAGTTGCAAACTGAAAGATAGTACTCCATAGTCTATGACTCCTCTTGAGGGTGAGCTCGGGCTCATCACCACATGGGTAAAACGCAAATAGATCGCATTCCATCGAGGGCCAAAGGAGACAGATGAGGGTTCGTATGTTGTACCAGAGTTACTCTGAGAAGAAAAGTGCATTTGGGCCTCTTTTCCCCAAACCCTCAGACTCAAAGTGCTGAACCTGTTAGAGGATAACGTTGTTATCTATAATCTATCTAGGGTGAAACTATATATAACCTTGGAAGTTGGCCGGGGGTAAGTTGGGTGGCACGTGATTAGGGTAGGTGTAATCACCAACACCCCCCCGCGCTGACCTTTCTCAACATAGAGGATTGGAACGAAGAGGCTAGATGATTGTGAGTAAATATGGCATCGTCGCTATCTTCAGGAAAAGTATCAAACTCTTTTCCACCTTCCCTCAGTCCACACTCTACTTATCGTGCTGTCAAATTTCTACCAGAACCCTGCGTTATTCCTATTGAGAGTTCTTGGAATACAAGCGAACTAAATAATACAAACATGGAAAAGCATGTGTACGAGAGCTCTCCCGGCGACCGAGTAACAGATGCCATGCTAGATGAAGCTGCGGAACTCTTTAATAAGAACTACGGTATCTGGGGAAATAATTCACATAATCCAGGTAAGCATGATGCTATGTCCTTGTCGTTCTGTCTGACGTATTCTCAGGAAAACCTGTCAAGCTCAGTGCAAGTCGTCTGCGGAAACAATACCTACCCGATACCGCTACCACGACCTACGTCAAAGTGACCGTGAATGAGAATCTTGCTGGAAACGCATTCGCGTGTCGTTGGAAACATAGTGGAAAGAACATTTGTTGGATTACTCAGTTGGTTGTTGACCGTAACTACCGCGAACGTGGACTCGCGAGCGCCCTGTTGAGATTGATTCGTTTGGATACGGATGATATGTACGGCATCATGAGCTCTCATCCAGCTGCATGCATGGCAGCCGCATCATCTTATGGGAGTAAGCATTATCTTCCCGATGACAAGCAATACTTGATTCTAATTCTAAATAGTGGGTATTGAAAAGGTTTCTTTGAGCTTGATTAAAGGTAACGCCAAAGCAATCATGGAAACTTCACCTATACCTTATATTAAAGATGCAAGGTTGTGTGGCACCCTTTTTGATCCCGAAGATTCAACAGGACTCATCTGCGGGGTCAATACCGGATTCTTCGTTGATCACGAGGAACCGCTGGAGATATTGGAAATGGTTCGTCAAAGCTGGCAGTGGCCACTTGGGGATTTGCCGGATGGCCATGAATATCTCCTTATTTTGTCAGGCAGACATCGCCGATCGAGATCATCATCATCATCCAAATTCAAAGGTAGAGTGACCGAGAATATGTGATTGAACTTAAATTGGAGATAGTTTCGATTTATTCTTGAAATCATGACACTGTTCGAGGGTTGACTTAGTAAAACGGTTGTAGCCCCTTGCTCATCGTCGGATCTTCCGACCACCGCATTGAAGATTGTATCTGATCACATGCATCACGGAATAGATAAGTGCCAACGCCCGGAATCAGAAATTGAACCCGTTTTCTCCTAAGTACCTGCATTGCATTCTGAAAGCTTTCCACGCTCTTGGCAGTGTCTCCAAGCTTGTACCATGCGGCACAGAGGAAAAGATACACCACACCGCAGGTAAAAACTTCTTCCTCTGAGGGATTATAGTATCTATTCCACGTCAAGACATCTTCCCATCGTTTCCGTGCTTCTTCTGGTCCTCGGGAGAGACGCGCAAGCGCGATGAGCACCCTGACGTGCCCAAGCCGATCCACTATGTTCAGTTGCCGTAGGTTGCCATATACGGCTAGCAGCTCTCGGACCAGAAGCGCGGCATCCTCGCTACAGCCCTGTCTGATCCTGATTTCAACAAGGGAAAGGAGCAAGCGCCGGAACCCTCTCGATTTTTGACCGGATAGTGGTTTTGGCCGTTTTAAGTTGCGGTTCCACCATCTCCTCTGCCTCGAAAAGATAGGCGGTCCGGTCGGTTAAGTAGGCAAGCTCGCAGTAAAGATCGGCGAGAGACGATTGAACGAGGTAACGTTTGTATTTGGGCAGCCAAGGAGGCCTAGAGCAAGTTTGGAAGCAGATCTTCGATTCTTCAAATCGTCCCTTCCCGCGCATGATGCGGCCAACACAAAGGATATGGTCCCTGAGAAGGTGCTCCTGCTTCCCCGGAAGGCCCGCAATCTCTGCGTGCGCTTTATCGAATCGGAAACGACATACGTGATTAGTCGCCTATGATAGATACAGAGTTGCGAGGTCCTCTCGTGGTAACAGACCGCTAGGCCCAATATTCAAACCTATCGTGAATAACTTTATTACACGCTCGGAGCCCTCGACATCACCATTGAGTCTCATGATAACGCTCTGTTGGTAGGCGCTTTCCACCTGAAGCCGCAGAAACTGCTTAGCAGAATCAAGGATCCATCGTTGACTGGGTACAATTTTGAATGCTGTCAATAATGACTTAATGAAGTGGATTCGACTGACCATCGGGACATCATCCTGCGCAAAGTAGTTTGCCATGCTCTGTAATAACCCATTCGGATCCGTGTGAACTTCTTGGCCGCGGGAATAAATGTCTTGTGTGGCTGTGAGCCCAAGCGTACCCTGAGCATGCTCGGAAAATTTCCACTGGACACTTCACCCTGTTCTAAAAAGAGGTTTCTCCGGTGCCTAACTCTCCTGTTTTTGATAATATGATTAATCTGCGCCGTCTATGCGATTTCCCGTAACAGGTATGTTTTTGCCGATATGGTCTAAGACAGGATCTACACTGATGCACTTTGGAAGTCACTAGGAACGACATCTCGATTGAACTCGATTGAAGCAAAAGAGAATGAATGATACAGACAGTCAATTAACGGGATTGGAAACCAGGTGGAGAAGTTTCGGACGTATCTTCGCTTATACGATCGGTTAATATTTATGATGGCCCTTGCAACCCAAAAGTTAAATAAATTTCTCCACACCGGTTGACCAAACAACTAGCAAAAGTGTTTTGCCCAGTCAAAGTAGAAATGTGGGTCACCCCCAAATCCAGCGCTTTGCCTCAAAATAGCAGAGTTGAGAGTTGAAATCGCTAGAACTTATTATTGGAAACAGTCCCCAATTTCTTCCGACCATATCGTTACCGTTAGATACGGTCCAATACGCCTCTTATCAAACCTTCTAGACGCTATCCTTGGTCCTTAAACCAAATTGGTGATAAAAACGTTCCTCCATGTTTTCTACGTTTCCTTGTCTTTCTCTCGGCTCTAGCGCTTGGATGGTGTTTTGAAGCAACACGTTTCTGAAAGGGAAAGTGGTAGGTACGAGTTCCATTGGGACAAAAGCAAGGATATCATGTAATCAACGTACATTACAATAGAATACAAGAGGCTGCAGAGATAAACTGAGAATAATTGAAAGTTGTTTCTTGATACCAAATGTACTTGGATCATTCTGTCACCATGTCGCCCCTCGCTCATTCTTCATGAACAGCATACCTCCTCCTCACACTAATGGTTTGGACAAGGGACAGTCTAACTCTGGATTCGTTAACACGAGTAAGACCTAATCCCTTTCTCTTTGCTCGTTCAATGCTTTGCTCACTCCAGCTCGATCGTTGACGTTTTTTATTGGCAGCTCATGGTGGAACTTGGTATTAAGAAAGCCTGAATGCGGTTTAGTATGATCAAAGCAACGAAAGTGAGTGACAATAAAGATGCTCTTAAACCAATTTTCAGCTTCAGAATCCGGCTGACTCTCTTGAGCATAGTAGGTAGTTGCGGTACAATTCTTATTTCTTTTGTTCGCGATTTTCCCATTCAATAAGCCGGGACCATGCCTCTCGACATACGGCTTTCAGTTTGTCTCCAGAGGAAGCACCTCGGATAACAAAGAGATCTTTCGACTGGATAAAATTCATACTCTTCGAGCTTATAGAAACCACATGTGTACTGATGCTCGTTCCCCGGGAGTCCTTTGTCACAGAAAGTTCATGTGTGTCGGTCACACGAATATGGTCGGGGGGAACAACAGTTGAATTTTCCATGGATGCGAGCTGTGATAGGTATTTTCGTTTAGCGTCAAGAGCCGCAGCAAAATATCCTCCTAGCAAATGCTAGTAGTCGTGAGATCTGAGTGTCTGGGCTCGTTAACCAAAAGTCTGACCAAGTTGAGTAGCGCTTCTTAGCCGGTTCAGAGTCGTTGGACGTTAGTGTAAGCTGAGAGGGCGGCTCTACAGACTGATATTGGCCGGACCTTGATAGATTAAAGGATGTTTGTGGACTTAAATCAGAGACCTGGTTAGGCACATTTCGGGGAATATCGAAGCTGTGCGGTGTTCATGAAGTGGTCGAATAAACTACCTCTTATGGCTCATATATAGTCGTTTCGCTATCGACTATCTGCGACTTGGGACCTGTTCACACCCCGTATATTTGTCGCTTCGCCATGGTCTTATCGATCCGCACCATTTTAGAGTGGATATCCTTGTTTTAATCTAGGAAGTTTGAACGAAGTTCTTGACCTTTAAAATATTAGCAGTTATTCAAGTGACAATAATGGTGACTAGGTGTGCGAAGAAGTACAGTCGTGCATGACCAACCCTGTAGGCTAACTTACATAGTTGAGCAGATAACTATGTGGGTGAGACTTGGTATTGATGTTTTGAAACATTAAAAACAGGCAGGGTTTTCGCAGAGATTGCTCTTCAAATATCTCCACAATTACAGGTCGGGGACCTTCCACAATCAAGAAGATTGGCGCATAGGGCCAGGTCTCTTCACCTTACAATTTGTATGGCAATTTGACCCGGGGTTGTGGACCGTGGTGTGGTACCATGAGTCCATGACTCACCACCGAACAAACTCATCCACCCAACGAACTCCAAAAAGCACTCTATAGAGCTGTTAATTTTCAACCATAGCACAACAACACAATAAGATATTAATATTATTTATTAAAGATTGCAGAATACATCATATAAATATATATAATTAATTCAGAGAACAGTTGCTTAGCCTAATAATTGTAAGAAATCCCGCTCCTCGCGGATTCTTTACCCTTATTCCTATCTCTCATGTAACCAATTGTCGGAATGGGTGTCACGGATGAATATGTTGGAGACATATGAATCTTATGTGTATCAAGATCTGCTTCTTATATTATCCATGCACTATCTATTATATCTAATTCCATACAAAAGATAGAGCTATTTATAGTAAAACAAATGTGCGAGCTAAGTGAGCTAGCATAAGTAAGTATTAGACAAGTATTGTACTCCGTAGTAAGCTGATGATGATGAGAAATATAGTAGTAATACAATGTTAATAGCATTCAGTAGTGTATGATCTCTTT